TCCTCAATCACAAACTCCTCCAACCTCTGCAAAAGAACTGAACATAAGATTTGAAAAGGAATAACTAAAAACACAAGAAAAATGAGCAAAAACAGTTCCAAAAACAAGAAACTTCCCAAGAATTAAAAAAGAATGAATAAAACAAAAGAAAAAGAATCCAAACCCAAGAAACAAATAAACACATTCAACATGACAATCCATACGATTAATAGCTGAAAATCGAACACATTCATAAGAAACGCATTGCGAAAGAAAACAAGATTGACAGGAAATAGGAATACATACCAATGTTGTTTCGTCAAAGTTAATACACACACACACATATATATGTGTGTCTGTATATATATTAACGTTCTACATGATTTAGTACACTAGGGCCATATGATAATCTAACTGCAAGGGGAATCCATGATTGAATATAGGGAGTGACGATATTATATTGTCATTTCGAGGTTAACTTGGATTACATTTTTTCTCTCTCGTGTCACTGAAAAATCATTAAAAGACTGAAATTTTGAATGGATGATTGCACAACCTAGTTTTGTGATATAACCACACTAACTAGTTGTAATCATATTATGTTGTCATTTTAAGCGTAAATTATTATTTTTAATTATAAAAGAGTCCTGCTATTTAGCTCAATAAATAAAAACCTACTACTTCGCCGAGTGTATTTGGGCTATCTGTGTGTCAAATATAATGGGACCCATATTAAAATATAAGGTAATTAACCATGTAGAAAGTTGCAATCTTTTTTTAGGTTTCATCTTAATATAGTATCTTTGTTGGCAATTAAAATTTCAATCACCATGTGTATCAAATTGTGTATCTATTATATATATATATATAATAAGGTAAAGTGCAATAAACCCCCCTCAATTATTACCCTTTTAGCATAAAACTCCCTATACTATAAAAGTATCAAACAACTCCCTGAACTTTGCATTTTAGTTGCAGTTTATCCCCCTGTGGCGAGCTTGTCATGTGGCGACTTAAATTTAATTAAATGACTAAACCACCCTTATGATGGTTAAAAGACCACGACACTCTTCTATTACTTGACCCCACCAAACAAGCCTTGTCATCCAAAAAATCCCTCATTATTTCTTCCTCGATCTCGCTTGAGTGATCGTTATCTTTATATGCCTATATACATAGTTCAAAAAATGTGGAGGGTTGTGCGTCCAAGAATTTTCAGAGGAAGCGTTGTTGAGAAAAAACCATTGCAGAGACGAATTTCTTTTAGCCTTCACTGAAGCTCTCACTGAAACCCTCTCAGTTAATGGTCTGACCGGAGCTCACTGGTTTTTGAGATTGAGCTCTATTATTGCAATCTGGAACACACCAGAATTTGGTGTGAGATTCGCCGGAATCAATGGAGTAATTAGCTAGGAGATTTTCCCCATCTTCAATGCAACTCCGGTCGAAATGGGTCTTCGTTGGGTCAGTCTGAAGCTCTGAACTCTTACCCCTTGTAGGTTACTGAAACTATGTATCTTCGCCTGTGGTGTATAGATGAGTTTATTTGATTTGGTTGCTGCAACTTTCTAGGTCTCACCTGTTTTTCACGAATGAAGATTCTCCGGCTGTTTGGATATCTGAATCACAGTGCTTTTCCGACCGGTTTGTCACTAACTAAAGTTTTTCAGTTTGAGCATTGTAGTTGTCGATGGATTTTCTTTTTCTGTATATAAATCCATGAAGCTCCACACCTTAATTGAATTTTCAAGGCTCGCAATATATTCATCTCTTCATTGAGATCAACTACTTCAGATGGAACACCATTTTTTGCATTTGCTGCATCTGGTTGCTGACTTGGTTTTTGTTGCGTTTGGTTGTTGCCAAACCTATCGAAGTACAAGTAAATGGACAATTGGTATCTAGCTTCCTCTTATATATATATACACACACGCGCACATATACATAACAGAGTTACTCTGTGTTTCTTGATTTCATATTCCAATTTCTTTAACAACTTTGATTACATTATAGCTCCAAACTTCGCACGGCTAATTTCAGAAAAGACCCATGAAATTGTGACTTTGATTTCTAACGAATTAATTAGGGCCTTTTTTGCTGGTTCAAAAAGATAAAAGAGATCAACCATGGATCAATGCAAATAGAATGTAGTCTATACGATGTATATACATTTACATATATACATGCACAATGGATTTTGTTGTTGAGAAAGAAGAAACAATGGTAGTGGTTTGGTTAAGAGATGAGATAATGGGTTAGCGGTAAGTTGCATTGGTGTCCACATTTTAGTGGCTTTTCTTATTACATTGGTCCCACATCATTTAACCAATTTTATATTTACACATCAATGTTAAAACCACACATTTTTTTATTTATGGGCATAATTTTCTCTGTCCTAAAACTAAGCCAAATTCATAGTTGGAGGGGGATATTTGTAATTGAGGGGGGGTTTGTTGCATTTGGGGTACAGTTGAGGGAGGTTTAATGCACTTTACCCTATATATATATACACACACATATCACATTGCGTCTTTATTAATATACATCAATTACTTTTTGATATGCATTTGTTAATTGGTATAATGATCAAAGCGAATGATCTATCTTGCTCCTCCTAGGGAAAAAAAATTAAGAGAGGAAATTTAAAAAAAAAAAAAAAAAAAAAAATCAAAGTATTGAAAAATTATAAAAAAAACATTATAATTTTTGTTGTAGATTTTGTACGAATCAAATTCTTATATTTGAGTACCATAAAACTTGATGTGAAAATCCAAAAAAAAAAAAAAAAAAAAAAAAAAAAAAAAAAAAAAAAAGATATACAACCATAAATGAAAGGGTTAATTCCACCTACACCCCCTGACGTTTGTCAATATTCCACACACACCCCCTCTACGTTTCATAATTCCACCTACTTCCCTTAAGGTTTTGATTTATGAAGCAAATTACCCCCTGCCGTTAAGTAACTAACAGTGTCAGCATGAACAAATTGGTATAAGGTCAATTTTGCCCTTACAATACTTGAAATGACATTTTTAACCTCATTGACCAATGCAAATTTACAAAATTACCCTCATATAAGCATGAATGAGAAGGTTGCTATATCTCTCACCGTTTAAACGGCGACTATGGAGAATGTCCTTGCTGATCAGAACCCCACCATTTCAGGTCGATGTCGCCGTCATCCCCACGTTCTCATCGATAAGAGATGATGCATCTCCATTCAATCCTCTTCACCATCGTTCAGTTCAGACTCACTTCTCGTAGCTAATAACAGACCCTCGTCGCACATACTTGCATTGCCAGTAAGACACAGTCCAGTCAGAGGTCGCCGCCGTCGTCCTCGTATTGTAGTCCTTTTTGCTCTCCGATTCAGTCAAAAAATCAAGTTCTCCACTGCCGTCAATTTCGCCAGTCTCGAGGCAACATGGCCTTCAACCGTGGCCACTGTTCCGATTCGGTCCTCCATTAACTCCATATCCTACAGCCGCCGGAGAAATTTATTCGCTTTCACGTTTTCAGTCCTTGCTTGTTCGGCATGTCTCTCGCCGTTTGGTTTTTCGTGGCCACCGATCAGACTTCAGAGTATAGGTTTGCTGTTAATCGCTGGGTTTCTCATATTGCCGTTGAAACCACCGGAATTGCCTGTTTGATTCCTAATTACGAGCTTGGTTTTTTGTTTTTTTGCTAATCCGTATCTTCGATTGTGGTTCAATAGCTTGATTTGTGTTTTTCTCGATCACGATTTTTCTAATTCGTTTTCTCCATTATGCTTGCTTCGGTTTGTGGTTGTTTTATTGTTTTTATTGATTCGATTATTGATTTGACATTGATTTTGAACTCTAATTGTTCGATTTGTGCTTGATTTGTATAATTTAGTTTTACGTCTTGATTTTGTTGTGATTGAAGTCTCAGATTTGTTAGTTTTGACTTTAGTTATGAATTGGTAGTACGATTGTGTGAATTGAAATTGGTTGATGTTACATCAGATGGTATGTTTGATCCACTTTTTGCAAGAAGAAGCATCGACATGAACCAGGATGAAAAAACAATGTATCTGAGAATGGACATGCCTAGTCTCAACAATAAAAACTTGAAGATATCAATGGAGATGGAGAGTCTGAGCAATAATGAAGAAAAATGAAAGAAGAAGAAGATATATATATATAGTGTGTGTGTGTGTGTGTGTGTATATATATATGTGCGCGTCTGTGAGTAGATAGAGAAAAAGGGTGTTAAAGTCTTTTTTCTTTAAGTTATAAATTTTAATATATAATTCAAGGGTCAAATAGTAAAATCACACATTTCCATTGGTAAACTAAACGACTGTTGCTGACAGGGGGTGTAGGTGGAATTATGAAACGTAGAGGGGTGTATGTGGAATATTGACAAAGCTCAGGGGTGTAGGTGGAATTAACCATAAATGAAAAACTAAAAAGATGGAAAACATTATGAAAATTTGAAAAATAAGGAATGGAAAAGAGAGTATTTTATGGAAACAAGCGAGCATACTAATGATACCTATTTAAGTTGGAATTTTAAAATAATCATATTTTATTTCTTTTCGTTTTAAATCGAGGTATTAAAGTCGTCAATAATATTATTTTTTATTATAAAAATACATTTTAATCTTATTCTTCATCCTCTTTCAAAAACTATCACCTTAAGTCATATAAAGCGGGGGTGCGAAAGTGACAAAATTAAGTTAAGAATGGGAGCGAAAGCGCGCGAAGCGTAAGAACAAGAGTGCACTCAGAGCATGAGAACAAGAGTGCACTCAGAGCATGAGAACGACACCGATAAGAAAGATTGTGTGACTTAACTCTCACCCCTATCTAAAACATAATTCTTGTAATTTTAAAAGGTATTTTTGTAATTTTTTAAAATAATAATAATTATATTTAAAGAAAGAAATAAATAAATTATTTAAATAAATTTACTATCATACTATTTTTTATAAATTTTATAAAGGTGAGGATAAATTTGATTATATCATTTTATATTTATATTAGCAACCCATTAAAGTTAACCAGAGGAATGAGAATCAATTCCCACTTGTCTATGAGAATGGGATTTAATAAGGATTGAAATTTTATCGACTTGGAATGAATATCCTTCATTATCCTAAATTCCTAATCCATTCAATACATGCCGGCGAGGAACGGGAGAAGGGTGAGTGGCGAATTTTGTGGAATAAAAATAAAATTCCACGAATGAGATCGGTTTTCTTGATGCCTCTATTGGTAGCCCTAGGAGTAGTTGTTGTTGCAGAGATCGGTTTTCTGGGTCGGCCAAGAACATCGCTTTCTTTGTTCAACTCCTGGGCCGAGTCGTTCTATCACTCCATTCCGGAGATTTTCAGAAAGGAAACTATCTCAGTTAAGGGTTTTGAGGAGGTAAGTTCCGGTTTTGGTAATGATTCGAACTGTTTCTTTAAAATGTACCTATGCATAATATGCCCTAATATATACACACATAACGAAATTTACTAATTTTAACCTAAACACCTAATTGTTGCATCTAATCGGGCTATACCAAGAATTCTTCTTTTTTAATGTAAGGGTCATTTGTAATTATTATTATTTTTATTATTATTATTTTTTCTGGGCAAAGTAGAAATTATTATAGTTATGAACAATAATGTACATGGCTATAATAAGCAAAGGCATACCTTTGGATTACTACTTTAGAACAAAAGAACTAAAGAAAGGTCAAAACCTCCAATGAAAAGAGAGAGACAAACAGAGTAACAACTTAACCACCAAACAGATCAAGTGCATCTTGAACTCTCAAAGAGGACAAATCCAGCACCTCCCACCAAATAAGCTGATAATCGGTGAAAAAGACCTTGTAACTCTTTAAATTAGGGTATATCTCTCAATACTGTAGAAAATGTTCTTCTAGCAACTCTATCTTTCAAACCATTATGGTGAAATTAGTACTAAACCATTGAGATAACTGCACTAAGCAAACACAATTAGGTAGCTGCAAATCCAGGAGACATGAGAGCAGTTCCAGTAATTTGCATGTTTTGTATACTTTCTTTTAAACAATGCAGTCCAGAGGCAGTCTTTTGATTGCAGAAAGTACCAAACCAATCCACATAAAGAGGCATTATTGATATCAGATAACTTTCTCACCCCCCATACCACATTCAACCTTAGGTGAACAAACTGTCTTCCAGTTAAGGGCATGCATTTTCTCATTAGAATCACTTGAACCCCAAAGGAAATCCCTCATCTTCTTCTCCAAAACCCTGATGACAGAAGTTGGCCACTTAGAAACAGAATTGTTTACCCAGTCCTGCATGCAATTTCTCATGTGAGGTGAGACTGCGAATTGAAAGTTCTAATTGTGGCGACAACAAAAAATCATGTATCCATCTATTTTAGCAAAAAGAATGAAAAGAACACCTACCATCCTCAAAACACATCTTCTGTAGACACGGAAATGATGGGCCCTGGGAGGCTTGCCCGCTAAACATTTGTCACAATGCCTCGGGCGTAAAACATGCATCTGGAATAGAAATTTATGTTATAATTCTAATGCTAATATTTGATAGATATGTAGCTCTATTTAAGAATTCTCTACTCCACAAACTGCTATTCTTCAATATGCATTATCAGCAATCCAGTAAAAAATATGGTGCAGGTGGGTTGAAACAGAGAGGGAAAACGGAATTGTTACTTTTACATGTGAAGTATGGAGGGGAGGGTCCATGCATGTAGGCTGGTATGATTTATAATTGAATACTATCATAAAATCTAGGATTAAATGGTTGGATATATCTGTGGGTGCTTACCATATAACTTGTGGTTGCTTAAGAGCTTAAATGTTCAGTGTAGGATATGAAATAACTTGAGTTGGACTCTCTCTCTGCACCTTCAATTATTGACCATTTGGGGTTGTTTGGACGTGTGGTCTGTCTTCCATTTTATAATCATCTCTAAGAAGTAACAAAAAGAAGATGTAGTAGTTACCTGACATTGTATGACCAATGACCATGTACCCACTGCATAGCAGAATTTTCTCTACTTTTAAGAATTATTCTGTAACTATAACTGCTTAAACAGAGAACATTCTCATGTCTTTACTAGTTTTCTCTCTCTAATAAATATGATTTATGCACACAAATATATATAGACTCGGATAATTTATAAACAATTGGTTTTTTTCTTTTTTATAACTGAGGATGTCCCAACTCCCTTCGGATGCAAAACTAATCCCTTCTGATACTTATTACCCTCTTTAACTGTTTCTGACACTCCTATAAATTGAACTCAAACCTTTGGAGGTTCATGTCCTATTTGTCAATTGTGGTTAATTAACTAATTTTGAAGTATCCATGAAGTAGCCTTCTTACCTTGGCAGAATTTATATAGGTAACAGTCAGGTGTGGTTCAATTGAGTTAATTTATCTGAATGTCTTCATAAAATCACCAATTGAAATTACATTACTTTTAAATTTGGTGGCATATTACATCAACTTGATATGCCACATATTTGCAGTGCTTTCAGTGGCCTTTATACCAAGGATATGTGCTTTATTTCCCTACTTTGTGGCTTATTTTGTTATACTTTTAACTTCTTTTAATGTAATCACCAATGAAAATCACATTACTTTTTTATTTGGCTGTATATTACATTAGCTTAAAACGCTGCACATTTTTGGTGCTTTTGCTGGTCTGTATACCATGGATCTGTGCTTTATTACCCTACTTTGTGGCTTATTTTGTTGTACTTTCACTTCTTTAATGGAATCTTTGCATGATATGAAATATATTGTATGTTGCTCATTAGTTGTATTGGTAATGTATTTATTTGACTCTTTGAATTGTGTATTCTATATTGTTACACTGCAATATAAACTCTATTTTTTTTTTTTTTTTTTTGTCCTTTTTTTTTTCTGCTATGATGTCCATGCTTTATGCTCAAGGCATGTGAATTTATTTCGGCAATCTCAGTTTTGGTCATCTGTTTATGACTGTTGGGTTGTATATAGCTTTTTTCAAATTCTAGCCGTTTATGACAGTTGGAGTACACAAGGGGCTGTTTGGAAATTCATTTCGGTACTCTCAGTTTTGGTCAGCCTGCATGTTTAGACTAATTTGGAAAGGGCATAACTTGTTTTAAATTCAAATGAGGCCAAATTTATGTCCAAATTGAAGATCTTGAAGTCTACTTTCCAATAGATTGGTGTCACTGGTCTCACATAAAAACTTCAACCACACTGAAAGTTATGGCTGTTAAAGTGTGCCCAAGTCCTGAACATTTATGGTCTGTTTTAGGCTTTTAGCACATTTGTGAGATAGCCATCGGACCTTGTAGTATGGTTTAATCAAGTCTAAGGCCTTTTGTTAAAAGTCTAGGGACCATTAAAATGATATGCATGAGGTGCATTGGGTCCTAGAATCAACTAAGAAAAGGGTTGAGCATTCAAATGAAGTTACTTAAAAAATAACTTTACATGAAATGCTAATCACTCACCCAATACCATCCTACCCAATTCTTGATCTTCAATCTTGAGCATTTGGGTTGATCATCTTAGGCTTGGATCCACTTCAACTTTGCCATTGATCTTTTGATGTTTGAGCTTTGAGTTCCATGGTGACGTGGCTTCTTGAATTCAAATCTTCATGTAAGTCCTTTGAAGTCCAAGGCCTTTGCTCTTGAATTTGATCTTTTAACTTAAAGTTCCTTGAGCTTGACCCATGTTTGATCTTGAACATTTAATTCCACGGATCTACTTTGTCCTTGAGTTTCATAGAATATTATGAAATTCACCACGCTCAAGTAGACTATTAAATTCTCACACTAATAGGTTGTTATAATCAAAATCATCAAGTTTCAATTGGCTTGAAACCTTAGGGCCAACAATCTCCCCCTTTTTCATGATGACAATTTATTGATGTGTTTCACAACATAAGGGATAAAAGATATTGCATAAGCAAAGCTCCCTTTTCAATATGCATATATGAATCACATAAGTTAGAGAATCTCCCCCTGTTAAGTTTAGAATATGTATAAGCTGTAACAATGCTAATGTGAGGCTAACTGCTCCTAACTGTATTTATTAAATAGTTTGATAGTTGATACCAAGTCTCATTATGGCCATTGTGCCAAAAATAATAATGACAAATATGGAGTCGACTAAAGACACGACTTATGCATTCATGCAATACATTGCTTTTATGCCTAAGCTATATAAGGTGCGTATTACTGCTTCCCCTCCTATTCTATATGAAGTGCACGATATTGCTTCTACTCCTATCAAGCTAGTATGCAAGATGCCATATATGCTCAGTAGTGTAAGCTAACAGTGTGCTAAATGATGTTCAAATGCTCAGTAGTGTGACCTGGCATGTGCTAAATGACTACAAGCAATGTGACCCAAATGATCCGTTTTCTAATGGCAATGAATTAGCAATTAATAACACAAACACATTACATTAAACACATTCCAAATGCAAAACACATTACTAACACTAATAACAGAAACACATTACATTAAGCACATACCAAATACAAATTACATATTAAGTCACAACAACCATGACTGCATATTTTCTTCATAACACATCCATTATGCAAGTGTATAACACATCAATCCGCTATGCAAGCTGCAAGTTGCATATTTTCTCCCCCTTTTGGCATCATCAAAATTTCTCCCCCTTTTGGCATCATCAAAATAAGCAGTGGAGTCCATAAAGGTAAGGAGTGATGATGTGGGAGTGATAGCAAGTAACCAATTGCAGAGCAGAACAGGGCATGTATATTAGTAAGACATAACTTAGCACAGAACATAAACATAGCTGTGATAGTGAACATAGGAAAATCACAGAGTATACGTAATGCTAAGATAGTAAAATAGGAAATAATTAACCAATAGGGTAACTAGCAAAATGTTTAACCCAAACTGGCTAATGACAAAACATCAGTAGTTAAATATCCATACTAATTGTAAAAATACTTTTTTTTTTTTTTTTTTCCCTTTGAATGGGGTGGTTGTATAAAAATAAAGATCGAAAAATATGTATAAAGAGATAAGTTGGGGCATACCCCTACTGAAAACAACAACTACTGGCCGTGGGCAAGAACCATTTCAAGTACAAGAAAGAAATGAAAAGAAAGCATAAAGAGAGCAACATCGGCACTAACATAAAGACACAAAGACTTCAGCTGAGATGCCGATGATGGAAGTGGATTCCTTGATGTCATCAATGCCAAGCTGAGAATCATTACTGGCAGTACCATCAAACACCCTGCTGATCCTCTCTTTCCATATGTTCCAAAGAATGGTAACAAAGAAAGTCTAATCTTCTTGGATTTAAAAGAATTACCACTAGCAATCTGAGTAACCCAAGCAGTCATATCTAGAACAGAACCTACCCTTTGA